CGAGCCGGATCGGCTTTGCTCGTTGACATTTCTATGTCATAAGTCCAATCGATTTAGGATGTAAACATTTTTAATCTCTTTAATGCATTTATTTTGATAAGATCTACTATTTATTTGAATCATTATTTTAAAAAATGATATTAAAATATAGAGTATGTATATTAAAGTCTTAATGATTTGTTAATCACAATGAGTTGTGACTGTGAAATACAAATTATATATGACTGAATTTTAAATTATTCATAGTCGCATGTAATAACAAGATATGGATACATTATTACGGGTAGACCATCACATGTGACATTTATTACTTGTGAAATAAGTAGCTGATATCATAAACTAAAGTGTGGTAACATTTAAACGAACACGTAAATATTTTGTTATAGAATGAAACATTGAAGACCCGATTAGGAGATTCCACATGGATAAGTTAAGTTGGCAACGAAATCATTGGTTAAGGTGTACTCATAAATCGAAAAGGGGTTTCGACTTATTTTGACTTAATAGTGGAATAAAAAATACAATTGATAATTGAGATTGACATATATCTATATTTTGTAATTGATCGGATCATATTGATGAAAGGATTATAGTTTCACGATAAATGAACAAATTTAGTTTTATCATACTATGTGACATTTCCCATCACATGTGTTTTCTGATAAGTGTATTTTATACACTTATTCAAGGCCTTAAAACGATGATATTTAGTTGCTTCTCCGACGAATTATGGTCTAAATTATTGCATTTGGTGTGGAATAAGTAGAATTCAATGATGGTACAAGAAACCCAGAAAAAGAGCAAGATCCAATGTTCGAGGACCGAAATGTAAATACTCAAGAGTTATATCGGACCTCAGGATGAAGGTTTAAGAGTGCTCGGAGTCAATTGAATAAAGAACGACATCAAAGGGACGAAATATAATCAAAATATGATCACACATCAAGATTCAAACGAAAATATTTATGCACCGTTTCAAACTCATATTGAGATCCATTTTTAACATAACAAATGATTGAATTTGAAAATGGTATCTAAAGAAAAGTTGTAGCTCTTTGAGTTAGCTTTGCAACACATCTTGAATCGTCTCAATCTGACAATGGAAGAAAAAGTTACGATAAAAAGACTGAATACTGTGCAATGCAATTGAAGCTCACGATAGCATTCAGACGCTATGTTTCTGATTTTTCTTCTGAAAGTCAGCGCTTAGGCGCCCAATCACAACGTCTAGGCACCTCGCTGCGTCAAATAAGGTTTTTAGTGAAATTCATCTTTTTAAAAGTCCAACTCAACTAAAACTCTTCCAAAGCTTGAATAAGGCATAAATACAACCCTAGAGAAGAGAATTGAAGGAGATTCTACACATGGAAAGAAAAAAACACAACTTGAGATTGAGAGAGCAAGATCCAAGGAGAGAAAACACATAATCATCAAGATTAAAGGGCAAAAGCTAGGGATTGAAGACTTTGAAGATTGAAAAAAAATTCTTGGTATAAGATTCAATTCTTTCCATGATCAAGATTTCAAAACCCGGTTATGAATTGGGGCGATTTCAAAACCCAGTTGAGAACATGCAAATGTCAAATCAATAAGTCATAGACCTCTCCACATACTCAGTTCAGATCAAAATGGAGTAAATAGTATAAGTGACTCATGCGTGTAAAGTGTCACTAATCCAATGCAAATAGGACTCCAAACATTAATTTTGTGAGAAGGGACATGCCAATCATTGCCAATAAGTATATTCCTCTATTAATGAAAGTTAAACCATAAAATGTGCATTATGACATATACTTATTATTTTTATTGAACTTCCCCTTACTATGAGCTTTTATATTTTTTAAATTTTCATATTATTCCAACTCATCATAGATACTTTCATACTAAATTTAATGATGTAGTACAGTGGTAATTTTTGCACTGCCACCCCTAGGCTTGATGCCTAACAAATTGATAAGTTCAACTGTCTAAAATAATCAAATAGAAGAGTTAATGCTCAGAAAATGACATCAGCATCATCTCATTTGTTGAAAACTAAATGAAACAAAATACAATAAATATATACATCATTTCTTGAAAAACTAAACTGAGAATCATTACTTTTCAGGATGAAGTGTTCATCTAAACATCAAAGTGCAACTCAAGTAACCATTTATTACCATTGTGTCAAATGCTCCCTAGTCAGCCAGTAGTCCTCTTTTATAGCATAACAAATTGAATTTTGAAACTAATAAATATTTTGACAATATTTTCCATTTTGATGACTGCAAAATAACAGAGTGGAAGGAGCAACACGTATGGGTATGATTTCAATGTATGTAAAAAATCAATTATGTGATTCACAAGAATGAGGATCTCACCTTTCAAAGAAAAAAGGACAAGGATTTCACAGCTCATCGAAATAATAATAGAGAGTGTGTGCGTGAGAGAGAGAGAGAGAGAGAGAGAGAGTTATTGGCTATTAAAAGAATGAAGATTAGATAACTCGTGGCTCCGCAGGGGAAGGGGAGTTGAAAATATAAATGTTACAACACACATAAGTTAAGTACCCTTAATATAATTAAAATGTAGTATATTTTTAAAAATGTGTGCTGTGAATATAATCACTTAAAAAATATTCAATTTTATTTGCATGTATATAAACACTCCTTGTGGAATACTTGCTTAATCAGATAGAGAATATATTTTTATTTTGTTCGTAGCTTTAGGTGTGATGGTTGTAGGTTGTGATTGTGGTTGCGGTGCAGTATGAAAATATCTATGACTAACTATTTGGGGTTCATGACCAATTGTCAGGAACTGGTGGTGGTTTTGGCGACGACGGTGGTGGTGGTGGTGGTGGTGCTACTGGAGATAGTAGTGAAGTTGTAATTTCAAGTATTGGTAGTGGTCACAAATTATTTGTTTGATTGCGATCATTAAAGTAGTTAATTTGTGATCAATAAATAATATGTGACCAACAAAAAAGATAGATTGTGGGCAAAAATAAAATGTTACCTAAAAATTATTAATTTGCAATCGATAATATGATCATTTATGTTTGTCTAATAAATTGTAATTTCAAATATTTGTGATTTGACAAATTGTGACTATAACTTTTTTTTATTTGTGATTGATGAACAAATTATGACTGATAAAAGCTTTGAATTGTAATCGTATAATAATTTATAATATATAAAAATTCTTATTTATGATCGAAAAATAATATGCGACTAACTAAATTGTTAATTTGTAACCAAATTGTAAAAATTTGTGACCGTGATATATTTAATTAATAAAATATACAATTAATCAAATAATAAATAAATTTTAATAAGTATTAGATTTTTGAAATTTGAAACATTTGTTTTTATTTTTAAAATGGATGATACTTTATCTCATAATTATGAATTTTTCACATAAAAATACCGTAACACTGTGGTAGAGTTACATGGTATCATCTGAGGCCCATTATTCCCACAAAATTTTGGAATTTATATTTTCACATTTTTTACCTTTTTTTTTTTTTTTTTTTGTAAATTTGAATTTTTATTCCTCCCCTCTTTTAAACACTGTCCACACACGAGTATTTCCTTAAATATTCAAATTTGAGCGATTTTTAATTTATCATTTCTCCTTTACATCTTGCTAAATTCATCAAAATTCAATGTCAGCCACTGCTAAGTACATCAACGCCATCGACGAGCACAGATATTTAACCTCCAGATCACCTTTCTTTTCATCTCTCAAACCTCAATCACAGTTAGTGTTACATTATTTCAATTAAATAATAATAATAATAATAATAATGAAGAATATATGAATCTGCCACTAGTATAACCTCTCAAATTTTCCCACAATACATAATTTTGTAAATCTATAAGATGTATTAAAAAGGATTAGTGCATTCAATTTATTGGAGCTTGTATATATATAAAGCATGAATCATGATTTTTTGACCCTGATTATTTATTTTAACAAAATAAGTTAAATCACATAAACTGCCTATCTGCTCCTTCCACTAAGAAGAAATGAAAATCCAATAATCGTGATGGGATTGTGCAACAAATAATGCTATCTAGCATTGAATCTCTAATTCATTGGAGCCACTATCACTTAGACTAGTGGCGATAACTATTGACATAGATGATAAACAACACCACTCTTTGTAGAATAGAAAACTTTTTAAGGACACGATCATGGACCCTATATATTTGATTCTTTGAGCCTTACCATGGCAACAAATACCAAAGAAAAATGAACAGCATTGCTAACGTTTACTTATGAATAGAGAAAACAGTAAGAAAAAACTAGCACTTGAGAATAATACTATCCACCAGTTTGGTATTATTTAAATCCGATTTTAATTTAAAGTCAAAGTCAAACAATTAATATTAACCATATATTTCATCGAACTTTATTGAGTGGGATTGCAGGTCAATCTGCCCACCTCTGTAGCTACCACGCTTTGTGGTTTTTTCATGCCGGAAATCCCTGTAAGATGAGAGGCAAAAAGGCAAATCGTCTTCTGTTTTGGGTTATAGGACCAGAACAAAACCGCAATTATGATGTACCAAGCAGGCTCCCACTGTGAAAGATGAATGGACACTATGATGATAAAAGGAGAACATCCTACCCACTATCCTTGAAGGAGAATTATTTTCACTTAAGATTTCCTCGAGCACGATAAAGTGAGAAAAAAGTCGACGCTACAAAGCGACGAATATGACATTAATTTTTTAGAGAACATGCAAATGCAAGCTTATTGAAGAATAAGACTAACATTTACGGAGTATATTGTCAAATTATCCCATCTATGCATGCTTAGACCATGGTTTTCATATCATCCTCACATTGGATCACCAGCAAATATTCTTTTAAAAAGGCTGTATAAGTTCAGCTTCTACTCATTCCTAGAGTACATTCTTCCACCTAGTATGTTAAAGAGTTTATTATCCTTTTGTTCTGAGGAATGTCCGTTACTTCCAAAAGGTTCATGTTTCCGATTACTTACAAAAAACTATATGACATTACCCACTAAAGTGTCAAGGCTCAAGCGAACCATCGTAGCACTTAGTATCATGAAATTAGATCAACCAAAAGAATTTAACATAAAAATATACTATTGATTTTGAAGCAAAAAACTAAAAATAAACATAAAATATGAAATAAAATAAAAAATATTCCGTAAATGTTAGTACTTGGAATATGAACAATAAATAGGACTTCGAATTCGGAAATTGAAATCGGACATGGGTGGGGAATATGGTAGCGAAATTAGAAATTGAATTTAGGGACAAAGTTGAAATTAAAAATGAAATGTATGGCATTGGAGGACGAGTTATACACTATGGGTTAAATGTGCAATTAGACACTAGGCTGGGGACTGGGTGAAACAATTTAAATTTGGACTGGAGTTTAAACTGGAACTAATAAAAATAATAAGAATATTTTAAGCGAATTGTAAAATTGGGTTGGGGAAGGCCTGGGCTATTCCCCTTACATCCGCCTCTGAAAATGGAAAGGCATACCTTCCTTTAACCTGGCACAAAACTTCCTGTGCTTTTGCCCCATAACCATTTCTTGCACTATCTTGAAAGAGACGAGAGAAAAATTAAGATTGCGTTTAATTGTGAGCATAAAATTTATATGGAAAAAAAATAAATTTTACGTAATTCAATTACTAAGAACTTATTTGTATGGAAATTATTAATTAAATGTGTTTGATTAATTTAATTTTCAATCTAGAAAATATTATACTTATCCATTTTTTATTGATTAGTAGATAAAAGAGAAGGGATAAATAAGAGAGAGTGGATTCCCTGGAAACAAAATCTTACTTCCCCTAAAAAAAATGTTTTCTATAGAAAAAAGTCAATCAAACAAAAAAAAAGTAGATATTTGAATTGAAAAACAAATTTTTCATGAAACATATTGACAATCGAACGCACCTTAAATGTTAAAACACAGGAGAACATGGTAGAGAATGCTTTATGGAAACATTTATTGTTTATGCATAAAATATTCGGTGTCACATGTACACAAATAAATATTCATACATTCACCAGAGCATGCGAAAATAACAAGGAAAAGAAACAAACCAGTGCCCAATAAGAGTTATCTTGAAGCCTCTCATCAACATATTTCACATCATCAACTTTCACCCTTTGAAATGCATTCACTGTTTTGGGCTGCATAAACCATCAATTATTATCGTTTTGAAAACCCTTCTAAGTTATTTTTGGAAAACCCAAAACAATTTGGAACCATAGCAACAGTATTCAACGTCTATAGTCTATGCAAAATAGAAAAGAAAAAATATATACATTTGAACACCATCAGACTATGATGCACCAATACAGACACGTGTGTCCGACACGATACGTGTTGGACACGTCGACTCGTGATTTTTTAAAAAAGCATTGATATGACACATCGTCTACATGTTCATTAAATTCTTTAAAATTCTTCATTTATATGGTTTAAATTTAGTTTTATACTTGTTATTGATTCTCTTTTGTTGAAATCTTTTAAATATGAGTACTTATTTGTTACTTATTAAAAATTTTGAGTCAAAAATATATAATAGCTATAATAAGAAAGGAAAATAATTATTGTAGAGTGTTCGAAGAGTGTCAGTATTGATATTTGTCCGACATGGACACGCTACCCTAGTTAGAGTGTCCATGCTACATAGCCGTTAGAGAAGAAAAACGAAAGAAAACACAAGAACCATAGCCAGAGGTCAAAACTTCAAACTCAAAAAGAAGAGAGAACAAAAATGAAATTACACCCTTCCAGCCACCAGCAAAAGGATGCATATGAAGGCAAGTATAGACTTAAAAGATTTTACTGGAAAAAACATGTTCCCTCTTAACATTACTTCAGCAATATCATATCCCTTGCAAGATTTGTTTAAGTGAGAACTCTAGTCTAATACAGATGATGTACAAAATATATGATAACGTTATGCTTGGTTTTACTACACATGGTTTACAAACCATATCAAAAACAATATGTTTGGTACAAGGGTAAAGGAGGTGGAAACTCCAATTTCATTCCTTCCAGAGACTTTCGTCCCTCTGGTTTGCGGAAACAAATTTTTGAATAATTGTTAAAATGATACGCGGGTTAAACTTTGGCCATATAGTACTTGAACTACAAACTGAATTCATTTTCCTGTCACTTTCTGTTCACTTCAACCAAAAAGAAAACTCAACGTTCACTTCAACTTTTCAGTTCACCTTTTGCTTTCAACCCAACAATCACTTTTAAATCCATAGAAGATATCTAGAACTTTTTAATCCATAAAAGTGTATACTATAACTAAACCAGTATTGCAAGACATAATATTAAAACAAGAAGTATTAATAGTATAATAATATACACCTATTACTCGGTTGATGTTTTACATTCAAAAATTGCAAATCCTATAAAAGATGAAGCCACTTCATGAACTTTGATCCAAATGAAAATCAAGTAGTGATTGGTCATAAAAGCATAGCTCCCATGAGCTTTGTCATTTAATTCATATGTAGGTGACGTAACAGGACCTCATCTTTTCTTACATTATGATTTCACTAGAAAAATCATGTTTGAGATTGATTCTAGACTTCAAAGAGTCCATTGTCCAGAAACAGCTTTGGTTGATTTATTTAATTGTAAGATTTCAGATAGTAGCACTAGTAAAGAAGCAAAAATAATGTGGAGCTGTGCTATGATGGTGCACATGGATTGCTAAGAATGCTAAAATCTTTCAGAAATCATTGTGGTGATCAGCATTGCTTTGGGTTTAAAGTCATTTTTATCGTCTTTATGGGAAAATGATCCAGGCCTATTTGATCACTTAGCCTCCTTTTGGCAAATTTATGAACCATTATAAAGAGGAATAGTAGTGTGTTCCTCGAAATGTGTGGATAATAAATGAGTAATAGTTATGTATGTGTGATTGAAATTAATATTTGACTTTGATTAAATATATAAATCATTTATAATCTGAGGCGGCCAAAAGAAAACTTGATTCATTTATTTCATAAGATTTTACTTTTCTTCTTCCTGCAGTTTCAAGTACCCACGGATTTTCCTCGCCTCTTCTTTTATAATTCCTTCTCCTGATTAATCACCATGTTAGCTTCAAGCCTCAGCCAGATTTTCCTTGACTCTGTTTTTATTTTCACTTCAACTTTTTAATTAGTTTACAACAAGATCCTCTAACAGAATGACTTCTGCTGAGCAGCTCTGCTTGATTTATATTTGTTTTTATTTTTTCTTTTAAAAAAAGGTGCACAAGAAAAAACACAAAATAGAAATGGAAAGGGATAAATATATACAGAAACGTATACCTCAGCAGAACTGTTGCGCTGTCTCCTCCCAGATTTTGGTTGACTGGAATTTTTCAGTTCATTCCTGTTGATATTACCGTTAGTGCTTTCATCAACTTTCTTAGCAGAAAATTCAGAGACTCAGCAAAGTCCATTAGCTCTAGAGATAGTGATTTGCTGCTCAACAACCTTCAATTCTTCTAAGCCTCCAGTCTTTCTGCACTTTAATTCTTCAACTGCTACTTCTTCTACAGGGTGGTTCTCATTTTCATCAAGAGTAAATCTTTTTCATTTCTAGGAAGCCATCTTATATTTGTCAACACAATCTTCTACACTCAATCAATTTTGTTTAGGTATTCCAAGTATTGAGTTTTCACTATCAAATACTCTGTACCAGAACCAGATGATTCTGTAGAAGCTGTAGCCTCTTTCTTTCTCTTCTTTTATTTAGCCTGGAATTTATTCCCATATGATGAAATGTCGCTACCATGTTGTCCTGTTGCTATTATCCTCGCATCTATTTGCTTTTCATCACTGTCTAGTAATTCACACGTTAACTTGCCTTTCTTCTTCTTGTCTTTCTGGCTTCTAGTAGATTCATCAATTGGTAATTCGCAAACTTTTCCATCAGCAGAATCCTTTGGTGTTTATCTGCTGCTTCACCTGCAAGTTTTTCTGTAAGAAAACACATCATAGATAAGAGCGACTCGTAACATTTTCCTGATCATTATATTGTACTAAAAGCATGAAGAAAAAATAAACAAAATGACAGGCGATTACATCACCAAAAGCTTACTTTGCCCCATCTGGAGAATTAAATTTTTGTTATGATCATTACTGCACCACCGCAAAAGCTCAATAACATGAGAATCAAAACCACAATTTTCATATATTCATCATTTTGGAATTGATGATTATCTCCTATGGCCATTCTTAATCTAATTTCTTCTTGTTTTAGTCTTTTTGTTGTAACGTACATGTCTAATGCCGTCTTTCCTATATAAGTTCTAAGTAAGCCCACATTTCTTCTACAATCATTTGTATAGGTGCACTATTATATGCTATAATTACAAAATTTTCTCATTTAGTTATATGCTCTAAACTTTTATAATTTTTATCTTTCCATCCAAAATCTCTTGCAGGGGAAAAGGGTATTTACCTCTTATATCATATTTTGTATTCATGGGATCTTTTCTTTTTCCGAATTTTTGGTCTGTTTCTAATTTAGTTCTTTTGCTAACTTCTTCTATCTTGGTTTCTATGTTTGCTTGGTCTTTTCTATTAACATTCTAAGTTCTATTTCTCTAGTCTTTCTAAGATTTCTATAGTACTCCATGTCTATATATTAGAATTCTTTTTCATCATCCTCAATTTCATCTTCTTCGCTGTCTTCATCTAACACATTAACTTCATCTTCATTTTCTTAATTTTCTATCTCAAAGCATCCACATTCCTTCATTGTGCTTTTTTTGTTCTGCTTGATAATTATAATTTTCAAATCTAATATTTAAAGTTCCATTACTACTTTCATACATGATGTTATCTTCTGGTACTAATATTGGTCTTTCTATGAAATTTCCTAAATTCCAATCTAATCTTGCATTTCTCTCTGAAGAGAATTTCTGCGCTGAGATAGTTTTTATACCTTTTTGTTTTAATAATGTAATTATTTGATTATTTTCTAATTTATAATTAGTAGTATTATTTATACTAAGTCTTCCTATGAATCCTGTAAAAATTAATAAATTATCTTCATCTTTTTTCATTTGATATCCTTTACTTTTTATTCCTATTTTAATCTCTTTATAACATTTTTTTGTTATTACTAAATAATCTGGCATATAATATACTATTTCTCCTTTGTTATTCATACCTAATTTTATGCTTCCTAATAATTCTTGTTTTATATTTGTGAATCTGCTATAATATAAACATACTAATACTTTAGCTCCAAAATTTTGTCTATGATATCCTTTTACTCTATTATTATTAATCATAAATGAATTTGTTGAAGATTTTTATTAACAAATTTTTTATAAGATTCTTTTTCTATTAAATCTAGGGATATAAATTGATCTTCATATGTACAAGAAACATATCTTTCACCATAATGTTGATATATTAAATGCTAAACATATTTTCTTTTTTATATACATCTAAATCTTTTGCTAATTTTAGTTTATTTTATCTAAACGTTTCTATCTATTCATCTATCTCTATTAGGATTTTAATCTTGTTTCAGATTCCTTTTTTCAACTTAATGTCCTTAATAAAGGATTACTTATTAATTTACTACTACTTGCTATAATTTGCTTTCCTTTATCCATTACGTATAAATCCACTTAGTCTTCTTAAATTTACTAGATTCTTTAGCTTTACCTAAATCTAATTTTTCTAGTTTATTTATTATATTATTTAAATGTTTATTATCTCTTAACTTTTCTTTTTCTAATACTTTAACTCTACTTTCCAATTTTTCTAAGTTAGGACTAGTATCTATTTCTCTTATATTATAAAATTTTCTTTTTAATATTTCGGTATTTTGGTTTTTAATATATTTTAAATAACTTTCTGAAGTCTTGATATTTTTATTGATATTTTCTAATAAAGTTACTACCTTTCTGTTTAAATTGTTAATTTCTAAATTTTCTCCTAAATTTACAAGTAAATCTATAGCACTATTTAACTGTTTATCTTCAGAATGTAAAAGGTGTTTAAAATTTTTATCAAAGTTACAAACTAAAGAGACTGTATCTAAACTATCTTTTCTCCTAAAATTTCCTAGAATTTCTAGATTTAAATAGTCTATTCTTTTCATAAATTAATTATTTTAGACTAAGAAATGGCTTTAATACCAACTATCAAGAAACTCTGACATTGAGAGATGGAAAGCTCAATGATTTGCTTTTTGATCTTTAAAGATGAGTCACCTCTATTTCTATCTAGTGAGGATAATACTTGGCTTTCTATAATAACTAATTTATCAATTTCTCGATTTTCTAAACAAATATCAATAAACTCTTTTATATAAAATTGACCTTAAGAGGAAGATCAATATAGGCAACTGAATTTGAAATCTACAGGTAAATTCTTGGGATGAATAAACTGTTTGTCGTTGAACATAAATGGTTATATTCTGACTAAATGACCTTGTTAAGTAGCTTACCAGATTTCCAACTACTTGGAGAATACATCCTCTAAATTAAGCGTCCTAGCCTTCCAATCGTCATCCTGAACTAGAATTTACAGCGCTATGTCCCAATGAAAAAACTGCAAGAGTGTAACACTGAATAATATGGATGACGATCAAAACTGCATTTTCTCTCTTGCTCTTATTTCTCCACACTTTTCACCAGCCTTCATGTTTAAAACTATTCAACGCCAATAGCCTAAATTGCTACTGATATGCATGTATAATTAGGCAAACATATAGCAAAATCAAAGTTACTTCATCTTTGTCAATGTTTTCGGGAACAAGCAGGAAATTTTATGGATATCTAGAAGTTTACTCCCGAAAGTCCATTGGCAGTCCCCAGAAAATTTTCAATTTTTCCATTCCATTTCTTCTCTTGTTACAGTTACGAACTCAGAAAGATATATAATATTTTACCAGCACTCCAGGGAAAAAGTTCATGAATACACGTGAACAGAGTACAACCACCAATTCAGTATAACATATCTTTAACAGTGTATCCAACTTAAACTTTTTCGTTTTCTCATTCATTAGCATTTATATTCACCCGTGAAAAATAAATAATAAATAGATTAATTGCATACACCTGAATTTGAGCTTCGGAGATAAAGTGTTCGAGAGCTATAGAAAAGCCACTATTTTCGATCCAGAAAGCGATGGATAGGCCAATAGAGATTTGTGGTTTGGCTTTAATTGGACCGAGTTTTCAGATTGCTTCTTCGCCATTGCTGAGTTTCTCTGCTGTTGCTCACTTGACGGGGCTTGAACAGGATCAGGGGCAGTGGGCTAGGGCTTACGTAAGCACTATCTCCCCCTTCCCGCACACAATTACGGAATTACCGCATATATTTTGTAGAAAGTGGAAGCAATGTTTTTGTAAGGTTTAAGAAGGGTTTTGTTTCTGCATTTCATTTGTACACCGTGCTTCACTCCTGGTACCTTAGTTGATTGGTTACAAACAAAGTCTGAGCACTCATGTCGTCATCTTATTGTTTGTAGCCCATACCTCCAAACTTCTAGAAGTACCGGTTAATGTTGAGCGTGTAGAAAATAATTTGTAAGTGTTGTAAAAATAATATTTGAATATTCATGAATGTTAATTATTTTAGAATTAATACTAGAAAATATATGCGTGATAGTGAATGTTAAATCATTTATTTAATTTTCAATTAAGTAAAATTGATTATTAATTAGTATACATGGATGTGAATTATGAAATGCAATCTTGAGTGTGAAATTCTAATTAACTTATAATTAGAATTTATAACAATGAAATACATAAACAAAGATAAATACTAATTAAATGAACGAATGAGAATGTTAAATAATTGAGAATTAATAACAGAGAATTCATACATTAATGAAAACACATAGGTGAAATGAATATATCAAATGTACATGTACATCGATGGTGACTAAACAATAAAATAAGTTAAATACATATTAAAAAATGAAACGTAAGGCATTATTGAAATAATTGAATTATAGTAGAGTTAAAATCGTCAAAAAAATGATTCTCACTTGATGTGATATTGACCCGTGTTTTAAGGCACATTATTTGGCCAAAAAATGAAAATTTTTATCGTTAACTATCATATCCAGTTGACTTCCCGTCTATTGTGTGGGGTTCGATTGTTCCAACAGCGGCTAGATTTTTTATTTTAATGAGCCAAAAAATGCTCTTCAGACAGGGGCTGGATATATTAGAGATATGGATGATATGATACTCATGTTCCAATTAGCAAAAATAATTATTAAGTCCATGTTTGGGATCCATTATAATGAATTTTTGGGAATAATGTATTTCGGGGTAGTGATTTTTATGAATAATGTATGGTTGACAAAAAAAAAACCTAGATTTATGTGTAATATTATTTTATTAAAGAATATGTGATGAAAATGAGGACAGAGAAAAATGTATTAAATTATAATAGAGACCAAACATGGGCTACATGTTAAATGGCCCAGGTAAGATTCAGGTGATGACAAGTAGGATGGGACATTTTAATCAAAATCGAACCAAGATTTTCTATATATTTCTTTGATAACATATAATCCATATGGTGGATTACATGAACCCATAATCAACAACAAATTCACCATAGTATAAATATAAGCATTTCTGCTTGTTCAAAAAGTGCAAAACATTTGGTAAGGAAAATGGCACCAATGAAGAACATTTCATTTCTCCTTGTCCTCTTCTTTGTTCTTTGCATGGGTTTGTTACCTCTTTATACTTTAGATTTAGGGTTTTGTTTTATTATAGTACAAACTAATCAATTTTATTTTTTGATTGCAGGTTACAAGGATGTAGTTGGAAGAATATGCTGTAAAAATTTCCCTAGCTTGGGTGACTGCGTACCAGATCGTGATGATAGTCCTGATTTGAATGGAAAATGCTGGCAATATTGTACCCAAGAGTGTAGAGGAGGCATCTGCAAAAAAGATGGAAAAGGCCATGTTTGCCATTGTTATTGCTAATTGCAAGAATAATTGAGTGTTTGTTTGAAATAAAATAAATAAATAAAATTTCTTCCTTGATGTTTTCTACTACTTTCTTAGCATTAGTACATTTCGAAGTCACTTTTGTTTGGGCATCTTTGGAACCACAATAACTAAATAATACTTATTTGACATAAAAATGTGCAGGGAAAATCCCAAGTTTCACCAATTCGGTCGGTTTATGAAAAATGAGGAATCCGGTATTATCGATTTCAATACCGTATATGTTTTTTGTCCGATAAGATGATATATAACAACAAATTACAGTCGTACAACTAATTGGATAATAACAGAATGAACAACAAATCAATTATTGAATTTACTGCAATAAATAACAGAACGAATAATTGAAATTGCAAGAAATGAAATTTCAAACCGAGGCCTGTGTTACACACAGTTTCCTTAAAACAGATTCACCCCCTCACCATCCGTACTTGAGGTTTAAAACGAGTGTCCGTTTCCCAGGATACAACAGTAAAACCAGTAACTTCTTAGCACCGCAGAAACCACTCCGACGAACTAAACTAGTGCTTGCATTACACCACCACCAAGACAGAAATGCAGAAAAGACAGAACTCTATGCAAATGAATTTCTTTTATATTCTAAACTTGAAAGCTTTTGCTTTGGTATATTGAAATGACGAAAATGAGCCACTATTTATAAACTAGGCTACCATTAATGGTAATGACCTTTGGAGTTTCTTATCTTTTTCCTATGTGGGACAAATTCATTTTTCTCACATAAATTCCTTTTGAGTGGCACACTTTGAGCCTCAATTTCTCATTCACCCGAGCATCATCTTTGGCAAGTACGTATATAATTTCGATGTAATCATGGAGGAGAACACAAATCAACTTTCATCTTCCAAATTGAACAACTGGGTCTCACTCAAAACTCGTGCCAAAGTCGGCCCATAACTCAGTTTTTTTCCAACAATCCCCCACATGAATGAAATTTGGGAGCGACTCATGCATGTGACACATGAAAACTTATGAATGTGACACATGACGACTTGGTGATATAGTTCAACAGTTGAAACCTGCATAGGATAGGTAGGTGTTACCCTTTGAACCTTCCCTTGTGAAAGCATATTTACTTCACTGGCTGACCAATAGATGCGATGTCCTTGAACTGTTCTGACGTTTATGTAAATGATGATATACTTCACACGGGATTCTTCCTAAATCATTTCAGTTCTCATTATTATATTCGTTTTGGCCATGAACATATGCCTGGTTCTGTGAGAGTTCACAAAAATTGCGCCTCACACAATTCCCTTAGAAGCGGCCCCACTTCTCTCTCACATAGGCGATTTCTTATTATAAGTAACCCCCATTACTTGGCTCGATTTTCAATGCATAAGAATCATTAAAAGCCTATTGCTTATCCTCCATCTTTATCGACATCACTATTGCATCACAGGAATGGACAGGAGGTAATATCCCCCATAGTGATTCTATCAAGTCTTTACAATTAGGTTGTCCCTTTGAACCTAGATCTTGGGATCTCCAATCAACTAGGTTGGGTTTTCCTTTGTATTAACTTATCCATTCAAGGGCTTAAGTCTCATTCCTCTCGATGATTTCTCAACTAACTCTCTATTTAACCCTTTGATTTCTCAACTAACTCTCTATTTAACCCTTTGGTTAGAGGATTTGCAATGTTATCCTTTGACTTTACATAATCAATAGTGATAACTCCAGTTGAGAGTAGTTGCCTAATGGTATTATGTCTGCTACGTATATGTCTAGACTTACCATTATATATGTTGCTCTGTGCCCTTTTAATTGCCGATTGACTATCACAATATATGCAAATCGTTGGCACAGGCTTTGGCCATCTTGGAATATCCTCTAAGAAGTTGCGTAGCCACTCAGCCTCTTCACCACTTTTATCTAGAGTTATAAACTCAGATTCCATAGTGGATATGGCTATCACTGTTTGTTTAGAAGATTTTCATGGTATAGCTGCACCTACCAATGTGAACACAAATCCACTCGTGGACTTTGAGTCTTTTATGTCGGATATCCAATTAGCATCACTATATCCTTCAATAACCGCTGGATATCTGCTATAGTGCAGTCCAAAATTACGAGTATGTCTCAAGTACCTTAGTACTCTTACTATTTCTTTCTAGTGATCAGCTCCTATATTACTCGCGTATCTACTCAATTTGCTCACTATGTAGGCTATCTCTAGTCTTGTACAACTCATCAAGTACATCAGACTTCCAATAATTCTTGAGTATTCTACTTGAGACACACTTTAACCTTTGTTCTTAGATAGATGTTGACTCGTATCTATCGGGGTTCTAGCCATTTCAGTATCATCCTTACTGAACTTTCCTAGAATTTTGTCCACATAATGTGAGCAAGACCTTTCGACGTTCTTGAAATTTTGATTCCAAGTATAACATCAGCTAGACCCATGTCTTTCATGTTAAATCTCGAATTTAACATGGTTTTAGTGGATTTGATCACCTTATCGTTGCTGCCAACAATAAGCATGTCATCAACGTAAAGACATAAAATGACATAGCCATTTTCAGTGTCTTTAACGTAAACACATTTATCACACTCGTTGATCTTAAATCCACTCTCCATCATGACAAGGTCAAATTTCTCATGCCATTGTTTTGGTGCTTGTTTCAAGCCATACAATGACTTCACCAATTTACACACCTTCTTTTCCTGCCTTGGAGACAAAAACCCTTCGAGTTGTTCCATATAGATTTCTTCATCTAAGTCTCCGTTCAAGAAGACAGTCTTAACATTCATTTGATGTACTTCAAGATTTCGCAAAGCAGCAATCGTAAGTATCATTCTAATGGATGTTATTCTCATTACTGGAGAATATGTACCAAAGTAATCAAGGCCTTTCCGTTGTCGGTAATATTTTATTACCAACCTGGCCTTATACTTTTCAATAGTTTCATCTGCTTTTATTTTTCGTTTGAAAATCCACTTGTAGCCTAGTGGTTTACTTCCTGGTGGAAGATCCACTAACTCCCATGTATGATTTTGCAGGACAGAATTTATTTCACTTTTAATGGCCTCTTTCCATTGAGGTCCTTTCGAGGAGTTCACAACCTCTTGATAGCTTTGAGGTTCACTTTCTAGCATATAGGTCAGAAAATTCGGACCATAAGATTTTTCTGTCCTTTCCCTTTTGCTACGTCTAGGTTCAACCTCAACCTCCTCTTCTGCTTCTTGGTCCTGACTATGTTCAGTCATAGTCTCATACGTCCGTTTAGAAGAACTTGCCTCTTCTTCGGATCTGGATGGAAACACATGTTCAAAGAACGAAGCGTTTCTCGACTCCATTATCGTGTTTCTGTGTATATCTTGGATTTTAGATTCATAGACGAGAAACCGATAAACACTACTGTTATGTGCATATCCAAC